CGTGGCCTCCTCTGGAGTCACTCCAGCAGCTCCACATCCTTCTGATGTTGGGGGATTCAGGAAAACCTCAGAAATCCCTAAAAACTCCTTAGAAACTTTGACTGCAGTGCTTTGAAAGGTGAATTTTGCCTTGGAGAACTCGTTTTCCTCATTTCCCACGGCACTGCTGGGGCAGAGCTGGGGGCAGCAGGAGGGGCAGGACCTGCTGGGGGGGTCTCACAAGAGACAACCAACCCCATCCACCCTCCCAGGAGCCCTTGGAGCTCCTGAAAATCCTGGTAAATCCAGGCAGGTCCTGGTGCTCAGTAAAACCTGCCCAGTGGGGTGGGCTCTGCACTTTGGCCATATTAGGCAGAGACTTTGTGCAGAAATTCAAATTATAGCCATTTCCACCCCAGATAATGGTAATTGCTGTTTAATACTTTTACATCCTAATACCCTTACAAAGCACAAAGAATTATTGGGGATCTTTCTCCAACGATCTCTTTTGATGAAGAAAATATTCCCTGGGAGTTCTTGGCATTAATTCCGACTGGCTGAGAGCGGTGGCTTAACGTAAGCTGGGCTTGAGCAGGCAAAGAAGAGATTTCAAAGCCCCAAAGCAATACAAAGATGTGAAAATGAAGTGACACACACATTTTTGAAACCAGCTGGAGAATAGCTGGGAGAAATAAAACATGGTTTTAGAAGTTTAATCTCCCAAGGCTTGGAAACGCTTCACCCCAGCCCGTCTGTGTTCAGCATCCCTGGATTCTGACAGTGATGGGAGAGGCAGGGATTGCATCACTCTGGGGCTGTTCTTTCTTGTTGTTTTAGCAGAAAGCCTGGCTTTATTTTAGAACCAAACAGAAGGAGTGATTTAGGCAGAGTGTGAATCCTAAAATCCCAGAATGGTTTGGGTTGGAACATCTCATCCCGCTCCCTTCCACCAGAGCAGGTTGCTCCAAGCCCAGTCCAACCTGGCCTTGGCCACTTCCAGGGGTAGGGAACATCCAACCTGGCCTTGGCCACTTCCAGGGGTAGGGAACATCCAACCTGGCCTTGGACACTTCCAGGGGTAGGGAACATCCAACCTGGCCTTGGAGACTTCCAGGGATAGGGAACATCCAACCTGGCCTTGGAGACTTCCAGGGTAGGGAACATCCAAACTGGCCTTGGACACTTGGGTGGAGCAGCCAAAGCTTTCTTGGAAGCAGCAGTGCTGGTTCAGACAGTTGTATTTCTTTCTGAGGAGACATTTGAAATCAGATTTCTGATTAATCCCAGCCTGGCACGTCAAGGTCAGACTGGATCCCTAAAATATTTAATGCCTGAGGAATTAGGCTGGTCTGTTTGAGGGTAATCTTGGGGAAGGCAGTTGTGAGAGGAGTTGTGAAGTGATACCCATCTTTCAGAGGTGACTGGTGTCCATCCACCTCCTGGAGTTTAATTAAAATCAGTGATTGAGCTGTTATTGCTTGAACAGTCATGTTGACACTGTACTCTTCTGGAATTGCTTTATCCCAGTCTTTGTTGTCTCATGGAATTAGGGCTGGGGAATGGGACAAGCACCTGTGGGTACCAGGGGGCCACGTCCAGACCTGGCCAGCCAAGGCAGCCCCAGTGGAAGAGGAGGAGGAGGAGGAGGAGGAGGAGGAGGAAGCAGGAGAGGCTTTGCAGGCTGAGCAGCCCATTTCAAACCCCCCCCAGTTCTGCAGGAACAGGGACTGGCCCCAGTGATCAGGTTAATGAACCACAGAGAGGATTTATAGAGGAGCCATTACTCTCCCAGGTCAAAGCAATTTTAAAAAATGCCTCAATATTAGTTTGGATAACAATTCATTATCACCAGCTGAGAACTGAGCAAACAGTGGATCTGTCTTTGGAGGGGTTTTTCTCCAGGCACTTTGGGATGAGGTGTTAAACTGGAGATAGAAACCTCAAACAGGGTCTGTGGCCACAGGAAAAACCAATTTCCACCTTTCTGAATTCAGGGGGGTTTATTTTCCTGGAGTGACAGAATGGTTTGGATTGGGAGGAACTTTAAAGATCATCTCATTCCACCCCCCCTGCTTTTAGATCAGCTCTATTAAATAAATCTCTCTCTCAAATACACATCAAGGGAACAAACAAAGCACCATTACAGTGACACATTTAAAAGCTGCTGTGCTAAAAACAACATGTTACTGCGAACCACAGTCAACCAGGAATAAATGGGAGCATTAAACAGAGTTTTCCATAAATGTTAATGCATTTTAATCTGCTCTACTACCTACCTGCCAATTAAATTCCACCATACACTTGTAATAATGAAATAAAACATGGCAATAAAAGTATACAGCAGAGTTAACCCTTGGCTGTGTGGCAGAGGAGGTGTGGGAAGAGCATGTCCTTCCTCCCAGACTTGGAATGGGTTTAACAGGGTCGAGCCCGTGGCTGTGCAAGGGCACAGCCACACACTGAACCAAATATTCTGAGCAAATTACGTGTTTTTTAATTGCAAACCTTTTATTGCTGGGTTCTAAAAACCTGAAGTGGATTTAAAAATATATATATAAATTAAATGCCAAGTTTGAAAAGTCGGGGGAGCTGCCTGGTGCTGATTATAAAGCTCCAACAAGAGTGGGGTGAGCAGACAGAGGGGCACAATTGTCAGTAAATAAAAATGACAGTGGGGTTTAATTAAAACAGAAGGAACTGTGTGAAACCTGTGGGTAGCTGCTTGTTCCTGTGTGTGGCAGGGAGGCAGCAAGGGGGGAGGTTTGTCTGGCTCCTCCTGTTCCCCTCCTTGAAGGTGAGGAGCAAAGGCTGAGGAGTGATTTTGGGGTGGTGCTTGGTGGGTCTGCTCTGCCCTGCAGGACACGGAGAGGCTTGGATTTGGGATGCTCTGGAGCTGGTGCTGCCTTCTAGAGCTGCTGGTTCCCAGTTCCTTGGCAGTGGGATGGGAGTGGATGATGCTGCTGGAGGTGCTGAGGCTTCTCCCCCCCAGCTCTACGTGGGACTCAATGATTCCAAGGGTTTCCAGCAGAAATCAGGACTTGTTTCTGGGTGACTTTTATTGCAAATGTGACTTGTCCGACAGGAGGTTTCTGCAGCTCTGGGAATGCAATCCCAGCAGCTGGAATTCCTCACAGTTCTGGTGCCCATGTCCCCCAGGATGACCCCGGGCTGTGCTGCCCTTCTCCTGAGGCTCAGGGAACACCACGGGCACCCCAAAGGAGCCCAAAAGGCAGGTGCCACCTCTCAGCCCCCCTTTGGCCTGTCCAGCACTGTTGTCTCAGCACTTTTCCAGGTGACTGGCTGAAATATGGATGTGGTTACTCCAGGGCAGGTCCTCTGAGCCATCAGTTCGTGTCAGGTCGACTCAGTGCAGCCTTTGAGTCAAGAAAAGTGAAATCCAGGCAGGTTTTCCTTGGTGTTCATCCCCTGAACGATGAGGTAGGGTTTGGGTGGCTTTGCCAGAGGTCTCCAGAGGTGCTCATGGGCTGGGAGAGGTGGGTCTGTGTGGTCCTGGTGATGGCCCATCACCCCACACCTTTCTGCTGCCTCCTGCCATCCTTTTTCCCCCCTTTTTCTGCACGTGGGTGGCAGAGGGGATGGAGCAGATGGTCCTTTGGGGAATGTGAGCACTTGCTGAGATGTGTTCAAAGGATGACCATGGGAAAAGGGTGATGGCGTCAGGGAAAACTTCTGAGCTGCAGAGATGTGTTTGTTTGTGCTCCAATCTCTTCAGGAATTAGCAGAAACCTATTAGGGAAAGGCCTAATCCCATATTGGAAAGGGGGGATTAAGCAACCCAAAGACCTGCCCGTGCCTGAACTTGTAGCACCTTGTGAAAAGTTCATTAATTGTCACTTGCAGCACCAGAGTCAGGGCCAAACTGGCTCTGGAGAAAAGGATGGAAGAGCTGAAGGAAGAGAAACAGGTTTTTATGAGCAAAAACAAGGTCCTGCCCCTCACAGCCCACCTTTAATCACCCTCAGTAGAATTAGGATGGAGCTCCCAGTTGAAATGAGTGATTTGAAAAACCCTACTAAATTCTGAGCAAGTTTCCCAGAGTTTCAAATCCCAGAGTTGGCTCCTGCTCGAGCCCATCCTACAAAGCAATTCCACATTCTCAGCCCTAGTAAAGTCAGTGTAAATATTTACAATATTCACTTCTGTGTGAAACACAAAAAAAAGGAGATTTTGTTGAAATTAGGGGGTTATATCTGTGCCTATTTCAGCTGGAGTGGAGCTACAGGATCCTGGGAATTCCCCTGTGCATCCCAGGTGCCCTTCACCCTTCCCCTCTCACACACACAGCCCAGACTTAGCAGCAGGCCCAGCTTAAACATGGAAAATAATGGGTGGAATAATAAAAGCAATGAGTTGAGGCTGTGGATTTATTGGCAGGAGTTCCCTGCTGCTGAAATGTCATTTTGTTCAGGTGACAGGGCAGGAATTTCAGCTCTTCCAGCCTCGGTTGGAGCAGTGGGAGCTGAGGGAAGCATTAGGCTCCCAGGGATGAGCTAAGTGCTCCATCCTACTTCCAATTTAAAGGTGTTGTCCCTGGAATAGAGTGGACCTGTGGGATCTGAGGGGAGTGGGGGGCTCAGCGTTGTGGTGCAGCTTCAGGAGCTGCAGGTGAGGAAGGGCTGAGGATCCTCCAGGCAGGATTGAATTCATTCCCAGACCCCAGAGCAGGGCTGGGATTGCTGCAAATGGCACCTGTGGGCATCTGGGGGCAGATCCTGGTGTTAAGCCAGAGGGAGCAAAGCCTGGCCTGGCCACCAACATCAAGAGCACCACGATTTGCCATCAGCTTTGCTTAAAAAGGATTTTAAAAAAGCTCTTTTCTGGAGTTCCCAGCACGGTTACCTTCCTCAGCGTTTGTGCCTGTGATGCTGGAAGCCTCCCCTGCATTTCCACCAGCAGGCAGACTTGCAGCCTTGGAAATCCTGCCAAAAGCACGAGCTCCAGCCCTGCCTGCACTGCTTTAGCTGGAAGCAGCCGTGCTGTCCCTGTTCCCGGAGCTGTTGGAGTGGTACTTCCCACCAGGAAGGGGATGGAGACATTTATTTTCCTTAGTAAATCAGAAGGATGCTGATTAAAACACCCAGGATGGCGTGATTGTGGAAGCAGCGAGTGGAGCAGGAGGAAAGAAGTCCAAAAGGATCCAAAGTCATGACATATTAATGCCTGGAAATGTCTGGAGCTGCCGGCACGGGAAGGAGGATGAATAATTCAGACCAGACAGGATTTCCCTGGCAAGGTCGAGCCTTGTGAAAGGGGAGGCTTTGGAGAGAGCAGCATCCTGTTCTCCTGGTGTTGTGCAGAGAGATCCATCCAGAGGGATAAGGTGACTTCCAGCCCTGGCCAGCCCTTCGGAAGAGGATTATTTTGGATCCGTCGGCACCGCGGCTGCTCCGGCGGGACACGGCACCGCCGGGAGGGTTCAGCTGGAATCTCTGATGCCAAATGAATTCCAAGTCTGCTTTTCAGCTCCGCTGGTGAATCCCAGAGGGATGGGCAGCCGTGAGCAGGGCAAGGAGGGAGCGCAGCCGTAGGCACAGAGCTCCCGATCCCAACAATTCCCCGGGATTGCTCACAAAATGCCTTGAACGTGGAGCCCGGGCTGGAAGATGAATGTGAGTACCCTGCAAATCAGATGCTTTCAGCTTGAGCTCTGCTTTCAGGCTGGCCAGGCTTGTTTTTTCTTTACCCCCCCTCTGCTGAGACACAATGTGGGGACAGATCCTTTAAATAATTCCCAAAAAACCCCCTTGCACCTTGTTGGAATGAGCAGGATTTCTACAGGGAGGAAGCTAAAGGATAGGGAAGAACTTCAGTGATTCTGATTGCAGAGCCTGAACCCACCTCGTGTTGCTTTTCAAAACCACTGATTATTAAGACATTTATTTATTTATTAAGACATTTATTATTATTAAGGGTTATGCAGCATTCCTTAATAATAATAATAAATGTATTGGCTCGTGCTTCACATCCCCAGATCCATCACAGCCTCCAGGCTGAGTTCAGCAGCCCCAAATGCTTGTGGGTTTTGTTAATCTGCAAAAGCAACAGCCACAACAGCAAATATTGGATCCTTGGGAGAGATCCCAATCGATCCCGAGTCAATATTTTTATCCTTAATTTGATTTATTTGACGAGTTTTACACGGACAGTTCATTTCCCAAAGAATGTATCGAGGGCAGGGGACGGATTTCTGGGTGGCACCTCTAGGGAGCTTGGGGGAGATTTGGAAGGGAATTGTTCCAGGAGTGTTTTGAAGCTGTGGGTGTGAGATCCTGCAAGGAAGGCTGTGAGTGTCGTGGAATTTGGGATGTTGGTCTGGGATCGTGACTCAGCATCTTCAGGATGTTTGTGGGAATGCCCAGGGCTCTTCAAGATAAAAATGAGTAAAATTGGGTCTTTGGTGTCTCAGAGGGGCCAGAGCTTCAGAGTGGCTGGGATCCCATGGGAAAATCCAGTGTGTGGGTACTGCTGGACACACTTGCAGGAGCCACAGGAACGATATTTAATTCATTTTAATGCCTCAGGCAGGACACGTTCACACAGCCAGCTCTGGGGAACAGCTGGAGCATTTGGGATGAAATCTGTGGTTAGAAAAAAATGTGGCTTCAGTCTTGTTTGTGGGGAAAATGATTCTCCCTCTCTCCAGGCTGGGATATCTGGTGGGAGCCCCAACATGGCCAGCCCTCCAGGAGCAGGGAAAATTGGAATAGATCTTATGGGAGGGGATCACACAGCCCCTGGTGGGACTCTGTGTGGAGAAGCGATGCTGGAGCTCCCGAAGGAGAAGTGATGCTGTACTTAACTAACTCCTGGAAAAATCCTGTGTGCCCTCAGGAAGCAGCCTGCACATCCCTCCTCTCCATGTGTGATCCCTGGGAAGAGGAATGTGCAGAAATGTGGGGGCTCCCTGAGCTGTATTTGGGGCAAAATCCCAAAGGGTGGAGGCTGCAAAGCCGAGCTCTGGTCCTAAATCTCTGCATCCCCTGAGGAAATGGCACTTCTGGGCTCCTCACAGCACGACTTGTCCCTGCTCCTGCCTTGCCCCCTTTTCCAGAGACAAGGACACAGAGGGACTGACACTTACCAGGTGTTTTCTGGAGCAGGAGAGCTGCAGAGAGGGAGCTGCTGCTCCTCAGCCATGATGAGAATCCCTCGGGAGGGGCTGGAGGTCTCCTGGGGCACAACAGCAATTCCACGGCCAAGGATCTCATTCCAAGGGTGGAGAGGGAGAAGATCCAAGATGCAACCCCGAGGGAGCTGGTTCCCCAGCTCAGTGGAGTTCCAGTTCTGAGGGAGCTGTGTTTAGTTTGGGAGAGGGGGGTGATACTCCTTCTTCCCCCATCCCTGCAGAGGTTTTAATAACCGCCGTGAAAGTCATTCCTAATTGGATTTGTGGCAGCTCTCCCTGCCCACCTGTGCCCCTGACCTCCTGAAATGGGATCCAAGGAGCACCCAACCACACTGAAAAGGTTGTTCTCTGGGAGTGGGAAGCGCTGGTGTCCAGCCTTGGAGTGGATTTTCCTCCCAACCCAACCAGAGTTATTCCAATTTTCTCTACCCCCAGCATCCAAGAGCTGCACATTCATTAACCCCCCTTGGATGAACGGCTCCCCTAATCTCTCCCTGAGGATAATCTCTTTCCAGTTGTGCTGCAGCCTAAGAATTCCATGGTTTTTGTTTCAATGAACACAACGAGGGGAGGAAACTCTCGGAACACCTGCACAGTTTGTCTCTCGAAGCCTCCAGGCATGAAAAATATGGGAAATATGGGAAAAGCAGCTGCTGGAAGGAAGTGCTTTCTTCAGCCATCCTCACAGGGCATCTGTGTCATCAGCCTGCAGTGATTCTCTTCCCCACAGCAAGCCCTGGGCTGTCGGAATTCCACTTCCTTGGATGGCAACAATATTCCTGTTCATCTCTGCCCCAAGAGCTGCCAAATACCCAAAACAGAGGAGGGGAAAATCATCTCCTATGGCATGTAACAGTCTTGAACTGTGTTAAAAAAGCATTTGGGACAGAGTAGAGTATTTTTAAACACGGTGTCCCTTTGGAGACACACAGTTTTATCTGGCAGTCCTGAGGGAAATGCTAGTTTGTGCCAGTGGAAGCAATTCCCTATTTTATGGAGCCAGTCTCTTTTATTTAAAGTACATTCTCATTGCTTATGGGTTTTCAGTGTTAAATGAAAGCCATCAAATGTGTTAGGACATAAATGAGCGATTTGAGGATCCCAGTGAGCACCCAGGGCAGGGGGAGGGAGGTCCCTGGGTCCCTTTCCCTGGCTGGGCTGCAGGGAGGGAGTGGAGGATGCTCCAACTCCAATCCCATCTTGTCCTGGGCATGTTTGGGGAGCTTCTTTCTTTTCTCCCAGAAGAGAAATCCCTGAAAACTGCGGAATTCTGTGGTTAAACCAAGCAAAGGGGATTTTCCTTTGAGAGCGGGGCAGCTCTGACACCCCAGAAATCCCATTCCCACAAAGCAGGTGGAATTTTCTTTGGCAGTCCAGTGGAAAGCGGTGGTTTATGCCAATGGAAGAGATTCCCTGTTTGGGAGAATAACTGTAGATTAAGTTTCAGCTGGGAAAAGTGATGAGGGGCAGCTTCCAACTCGAAAATCCTGGTGACTTAGAAGCAAATTTTGGGCTGTGCTTTGTGGAGGGGTTGACACTGTGGATGGGAAAGGGATTTGGTCTGGGGGGCAAAGCAAAACTTAAGCTCTGTTATCATCACCCACTCTCAGGGTGGCAGCACCTTGGATGTTCCCAGACCCACCAGCCCCATGGAAAATGAGCTTTGGGGTTTTAGGAGCGTGTCCCAGGTCCTGCTTTCTGGAGGTGTCTGGGGTCACTGGGGTTGCTGGGGGGTCCCTCTTCCCTCGTGGGGACGGTGCTGCTCCAGTGCCCTTCTCCAGGCACGAATTCCTCTCTCCCTGGGAGTTATTTTAGGCCATGTCCTTTCTCCCAGCCCAAGCAGCCGTGCCCTGAGCAGCTCCATTCTCCCTCATTCCCGTAATTAATAACAAAACTGAGCTGCTGGTGTTAATTGGAGCCCAGCAGGGCCGTGGCAGCCGGCGCCAGCCCTGTAAGAGGATTATTCACTTTCTGTTCCACTGACTTCCAGTTCCAGGGGGAAATCCAGCAGCACGAGGCTGTTTCCAGAGCCCTGGCTGCAGGACAAGCCAGGGGAACATAAATCATGGAGTCAGAGGAAGAGTCATGGAATGATTTGGGCTGGAAGGGACCTTAAAGATCATCTCGTGGGACACCTTCCACTAGCCCAGGTTGCTCCAAGCCCGGTCCAACCTGGCCCTGTGCACTTCCAGGGATGGGAATTTATATACAGGTAGATATATAGATAGATATAGATAGACATCTATGTATATAAATATAGATAAATAGAGAGAAGTATATATATATTATATAGTCTGTATCTGTGTCACTCTTAGGGAATAAGGCTCCTGTGTCGTTCTTGGGAGTTGACTTTGGGGTTTTTCCCTTCCATATAATGTAGGATCAGGCTTTATACCCCCAAAAGGTTCTCCTGTGCCCTGGCCCTGCTACCTGCAGAGGAATGTAAGTGCTGATCCCACAGAGCACAACCAGCAATGCCCAACCCAACCCATTTTGCAGCTGAGGAGCAGCTGGAGGTGGAGTTCCTGCCTTCCAAAGGTCGTGGAAAATAAACAGATAAAGCTCTTGGGAGCTGGGTTAAATCTGCCACTTCTGAACCTGGTGTGTTGATTATTAAGGCATTTAAATAGATACAGTTGGTTTGTTCAAGGTATTATCCTGCAGTGACTGTGGGGAGTTGAATCTGCCTCTGTTTGGGAGCCAGGCCTTTCTGATTGCTGAGCCCCAACACCACAGATGTACCTTGATTTTTCATCTACACCTTGAAACCTCTCTGGGACAGGCTCTGGGGGAGATGCCTTCAGCAGTGACATCTCCCTCCATCATCCTGAATGCTTTTCTCCTTCGCTGCATCCCGGGGCTCAGGGAACACGGAGAGCTCGTGGCAGTGATAATCCTTTGTGGCTGCAAGCAGGAGACCTGCTCGTGCCCCCTGGGCTCAGATGAAGTTACAGGACTCTGCTGCCTGTCCCTGTGCCTTGGGCAGAGGGCAGAGTGCTCTGAGTGTGCACAGCATGGCAGTGTCCCCTCCATGTCTTCTCCAGGGCTGGAGAGGATCTGCTTTCCCAGCCCAGCTCAGAGCTGGGACTAACAGCCCACAGCCCAGCCTGAAGACCTGGAGACTCTCCCTGTGCACCAGTAATGCAGCCTTTTGATAAGGGCCCTGCTGTCCCTGTGTGATGAGGTGGCTCAGGCTGGCTGTGTCCCGCTGAGGGTCCGTGTGACACCGCTGAGCACAGCAGGAGCTGGCAGTGCCACTGCTCTGAGCTCAGCCCTGCCTAAGTGGGTTACAGAGACACCCAGCGATGTTTAAAGAGTGCCTGGATCAGAAATAGATCCCTTCTCCAGAGGAACAGGTCATGGCAATTTGCTTTCTATTTTTTGCTGCCCTACCCCGGCATTTGCGTGCCGAGCTGAGCAGCATCCCTTGGCCTGCTGCTCTGGAGTGGGAGCACTCAGGAACATGGCTTTTCCAGCTTTTCC